ACCTGTCCCTGCACCTGCACCACAATCCTGTCCCAGCTGTCACTCCTCACCCACCCACAGCCCAATCCCATCTGCCCAGTTAAGCATGCCCCGGGGGGGGGAAGGGGTGTCCCAGGCCAGTCTCAATGGGGACCTCTCCCACTTGCCCACTCACTCCATCTGGTATTCCCAGTGTTGGGTGGACATGTCGGGGTGCCTGGGCAGCAGGGCCAGGTCAAGCAGCAGCAGCGGCAACAATGACAGCAGCAACCAGAAGCTACCACTGTGGGGGCTCCTAGGAAGACAAGTCCGGCTACCACGCTGCCCCCATCCTATAGACTACAGCTCCTGGTTTGCCCAGGGATAGGGCAGGCTGCATTCCATGCCCGGTGGCACCTCTGTGCCTGGGGCAGTGGGACTGGCCACATGCACTACAGACCAGGCTGACCCATGCACCTGGCAAGGCCAAGGGACCCGATATGGGCCAGAAAGAATCTTTTGGTGGCTCATATCCAGCCCATGGGCCATATTTTGTCCATGCCCAAGTAAGAGTACTCTAAAAAGCTAGTTGGTATTTCTGTTGTTTTCCAGACAGTTTAGTCTCAACTAGGCCTTTACAGGTATGTGTCCAGATCACACGTGGCCACCTCTTCAAAAGTCACATCAAAGAGGCCATGGATATTGAAGAATAAATTACTAAATTATTCTCTCCCCACTGAGTTGTTTCTCCAAATCAAATGAGACAGGTTAACAGTGGCAGTGTACAGGGAACTGACACCATTCTTGACCACATTTACCAGCTCTGTGGTTGAACAGAAACCTTTAGTCTTAACTGCCATCAACATGGCTACTTTTCCCCACTGTTTTGCAAGTGGAGCCCTGTGTTGGAAATCATATCAACATACAGGAATCCAATATGGCCACTCTTGAAAGAACACACACACTTAAAAAGTTTTAGAACTGTATTCACAGCAACCAATTATGAGGTCATGGAGAGGTCAGTCTCTTGAACTGACAATGCCCATTAAAGAAATCAAAATTATCACTATATTGTAAACTAAACCAAGTTGTATGTTATGGCTTACCAGTGGCACACTTGCAATTAGCCATCATCGTCTCAATCTGCATTAATTGCTAGTTATCTTAGAAATGATGATGAAAATCAAAAGTTAACGACATTCTTATCCACAGAGATGGTACCTGCAAATCAGCAAAGTGGTTATCTGAACTATATCTGCCCTGTGGATAAACACAGGACTTCTGTGCCTGGTACTGCCAGTCTGAAAGTTTTATGAGACCTAAAAATCACTTCATATAAAGATACAGGCACATGGGAGACCCTAATTCCTTAAAGTTCTCAGGGGTTCCATTATGTACAGAGGTTTAATTAGGGGGTGCAGTCCTCACTGGAGCTGTGCCCCATACACAAACTGCTTACACAAGTTTAAATTATCTATGAACGTGAATTTCCTGAACATGATTTGGTTGTGCAGATTTATTAAGTAACAAGGTTGGTACTGGATAGTCTAAAACACACGAGATTACAGTGGGATGTACAATGAGAAGGATGCTTTGCACATGGAGTAGGAGGACCTTGGTAATACAGTGCAAATACAAAGAACAGGATGTGTACGACATACAGATTTTGCTGTGATCACTGCACAAAAGGAGAACTCGGAAACCCCTTGGAACTGCACATTGACCTCAGGGACGCAAAATGCATGTTGTACCTGCACCTTCACACAAGCCTCCAGGGCCAGCACCTTGTAACCCATTGGTCATGTACATTAGCAAAGACATGCTTCACAGGTAATCAACTTGGCAGGGCCTTTATCACCAAACCAAGTCCTGTGGTCATTCTTTCTACAACATCAAGGTCTTCAGGGAACAGGCACTTAATTAAGTGCAGCAACAGCAGCACAGGCAGCACTCCCAGTGCATTGCTCATATGCTGCCCATACAAATGGAGCATGACAGAAGGGCATGCACTTGGGACAGAAGCACAAGAATGTAGAGAGTTTAGATACCTGCACTTCCTTAGTTCTCAATTACGTAAGTACTGCTTCTAAGTGTGACTTGAGGTTTTTTTAATTGAATAATTCTCTAAATCACATCTTGATTGTTAGAAAATCTGAGTTATTTGTTTGGAGAACAAACCACACTTGAACAGGTTTTTAATTAATAAGGTCTTAGCAGAAGGGTTCAGTTTGCAAGAACACCCACCACATTCCTGTTGTGTAAAGAAAATGTTATCTAGTAAGAGATTAAAGGACTGAAATGATCTTGGACAAGAGTAATTTGTGGGGGTTAAACTCACCCTCAGAGATGACTCTATGAAAAGTGGTCAAACTGAGGCTGGGGTTACCAAGAACATGTAACCTTGACCTAAACTTTTCCCACTAAGGGAGACTCCGAGCCAAATGCCATTCAAGTGATCCAGCCCAAGTATTTAGCGTGATACTACAGTTCACCACTCTGTCAAAAGCAAAAGCTACAGAAGTACTCCCAAGCTCTGTACACAGCCATAATCAAAACCATTTCCCTTCCACCAGAGGATCTCAGACATTCCCTTTACAGCTTATACACACACAGGCTTCTGTGCTTTGATGGAAACTGTAGCCATCATAGTCCAGGACATGAGAAGCAGAGGGGTTTTTGGCAATAACTTTTATTGGATCAACAGTACAGTTGGGAGAGAGGCAAGACAAGCTTTCAGACATAAAAGCCTGTCTAACTTCTCTCCCAACTATACTGTTCAACACATAAATCACCAGGAAGGCCCTTGCTTTTCACATAGATGGAAAATGGAAGTTTCCCCCTAATATTAACTCTTTGCCCTTGGAAGAAAGACATTCGAAGTTTGACTTTTTTTTTTGGCATGACACAGAAGTTTTGCCCACTCCTCTGTCTGCCACCGACTGCACTTGACTTTCTGCAACACACTTGACTTCCTCAGGTCAGTTCTCTCATCTGTGAAATAAAAGCATCTTACTGCTAACGCCATCCATTTAATTTCTCGTGCCCTGACGTGGCAGGCCCTTCACAGAAACAAACAGCCGCCCCCCTCATTAAGTGAGCGAAGAGGGCACCTACCTGCTCAACACCTTTTACAAGAGGTGCCTTGTTTCCTGAGCCGGCATGCTCGTTTTCCCAAGGCAGCTTGTTTTTCCCTTTCCCTGCACTTAAGACTCTTCGGGGACATGTCCCCTGATCAGTGTACACGCTGTGCGCGCCCGAGTTTGGCGCCACCTCCCCCCTCGCACAATCCCCACAGTAACTGTGTGCGCTCTGAGTCCTGTTGCCTGCCAACAACCAATCCGTGTCAGCGCCAGGGGGCAGGTGGGATGCCCGCCCGTGGGCCGAGGACGGCAGGGGCACCGCATACTCCACGAACCCCTGCTCCGTCAGCTTGGGCAAGGTCTTCCTGGCTAGTCGGGCCTGCACAGCGTGCATCACACCATCCCCATCCTCCTGCAGCTCCACAGAGTCCACCGCCTTGAAGAGGAGCTCAGCATTGCCTGGCCCCATGGCTGAGGCCAGCACAGCAAAGGCCTCCAGGGCGGCATGGCGCACCCGGCGCTTACCATCCACCAGGGCGGGTGCCAAGCCAGCTGCCAGCTGTGGCAAGTCGAAGTCACGGGCGGGGTGGGCCAGCAGCGCCCCGATGCAGACGTTCAGCACCTCTTCGCGCACCTTGGAGTTCTTGTGGCACAGGTGCTCGGGCCGCAGCAGCAGGGCCAGCACTCGCTGCGGCCCCGCCGCCTTCATGAGGCGCAGCAGCAGGCGCCGGTACTCCTGCCGGATGGCCAGCTTGTTGTCGCCCAGTACCTTGGCGGCTGCCGCCACCAGCGGGCCCAGCAGTGCCTCGGCCCGGGCGCCCAGGCGGTGGGCCAGCAGGTGCGAGACCTGCAGGGCACCCAGCACCACCTTGAAATTGGCGTCGTCCAGCAGCGTGTAGAGGAAGCTGACGAGGCCCAGCAAGGCGGTGGCGGGCACGGCGGCCAGCGCCGAGGCCGGCGCATCTGCCAGCACCTGCCGCAGCTCCTCCACGGCCTGCGCGCGCCGCCGGTAGTCGTCGTGGTCCAG